CTGATAATATCACCACTCCCACTCTCTTTTGTTTACTATTTCTTTGGAATATCTTTTCCCATATTTTCAACCTATTTCTGTCTTTGGATCCAAAGCAAGTCTCTTGTAGACAGCGTATAATTGGATCATGTTTCTTTTAATCCATTCTGCCAATCTCTGCCTTTGGAGAGGGGAGTTTAAGTCATTTACATTTAGAGTAATTGCTAATAAGGAGGGCCGTCTGTCATTGAGCTGTTTATATGCGTTTTAGCTTTTTTTGTCCCTCATCTCCCGCATTATGTCTTTTGAGTTTAGTTGATTTTTTGTAGTGAACTTTAATTCCCCTCTCATTTCCTTTTGTATATATTCTATAGCTGTTTTCTTTGTGTTTATGATGGTGATTACATTTAACATCCGAAAGTTATAACACTAATTTGAATTTATACCATCTTAACTTAAGTAGCATACAAAAACTGCCCCATCCAGCTCTATTCCCTGCCCCATTTCAGTTATTGATGTCACAAAATTACATCTTTGTGCACTGCATATCCAAAATATGGACTAATAATTTTTTTTATGCATTAGTGTCTGAGAAAAAACTCTCTGACACCAGATGTGTGGTTTTTCTACACCAAGCTACTCTGACACTAACTGCGTAGAGTTAGTGTCCAATCACATAGGTTAAGGGCTTAGTCCCACAAGACTCACCCCCATCTGCCCTACACACACCATTTTGGACACCAGTCACAAGTCCAAGTCACTTGAGCTTCTGACCAACTGGCTATAAATCACAGTTCGCACAACCCCCTCCTCAGGTTTTCTAATTTGCTAGAGCAGCTCACAGAACCCAGGAAAACAGTTTACTCATTACTGCTTATTTATTACAAAAGATATTTTAAAGGATACAGATGAACAGCCAGATAAAGAGATGCATTGAATGAGGTATGGGGAAGAGGGAAGTATGGGGAAGGGGCACAGAGCTTCCATGCTATCTCCGGGAGCACCACCCTCCCAGCACCTCCATGTGTTCAACAACCCAGAAACTCTCTGAACTCTGCCCTTCAGGGATTTTTATGGGGCTTTAGCATGTAGCCGTGATCAATTATTAACTCATTTTCCAGCTCCTCTCACATCTCTGGTGGCTGAAAGTTCCAGGCTTCTAATCATGGCTCAGTCTTTCTGGTGACCAGCCACCATTCAGGAGCCCACCAAGATTCACTTTGTTAGAACAAAGGACCTTCCTGTCAGCCAGGAAATCCTAAGAGATTTAGGGGCTCTGTGTCAGGAACCTGGGGCAAAGATCAATACATAGATTTCTTATTTCACAGTTAGTCTCTTAAACCATGTAGAAAACAAACAGTGGTGTTACAAATCAGGTTACAATGAGACTAGTTTTTATAATTGTCCAAATATTTACCCCTACCAGAAATCTTTATTTCTTCATGTGGCTTCAAGTTCCTGTCTTGTCATTTCACTTCCATTTGCAGGACCCCATTAGCATTTCCTCCTTCAGCTTTTGTTTATCTGGGAATGTCTTAATTTTTCCCACATTTTTGAGGGAGAGCTTTGCCAGATATAAGATTCTTGGTTATCAGGTTTTTTCTTTCAGCATTTTGAATATATCAACTAACAGCCTTTTGGCATCCAAGGTTTCCAGTGAGAAATCTGCTAATAATCTTATTTTGGATCACTTATTATGATGGATTGCGTCTCTTGCTGCTTTCACGATTCTCTCTTTGTTTTTGGACAGTTTTATTGTAATGTCTCTTGGTGTGGATTTCTTTGAGTTTATCCTACTTGAAGTTTATTAACCTTCTTAGATGTCTACATTCATGTCTTTCATCAAATTTGGGGAGTTTCAGCCATTACTTCTTGCAGTAATCACTCTGCTGCTTTCTCTCTCTTCTTGGATTCCCACAATGCATATATTAGTCAGCTTACTGGTGTTCCCCAAGTCCTTTAGGCTCTGTTCATTTTTCTTTAATCTTTTTTCTTTCTGTTTCTCAACTCAATAATTTCAATTCTCCTATCTTTAGATTAGCTGATTCTTTCTTTTGCCAGCTCAAATCTACTTTTGAATCCTTCCAGTCAATTTTTTTTTTTTTTTTGAGGAACATCAGCCCTAAGCTAACATCTGCTGCCAATCCTCCTTTTTTTTTTTTGCTGAAGAAGACTAGCCCTGAGCTAGCATCTTTGCCTATCTTCCTCTGCTTCACATGTGGGATGCCTACCACAGCATGGCTTGGCAAGCAGTGCCATGTCTGCACTGGGTTCCGAACTGGTGAACCCTGGACCACCAAAGAGTAATGTGTGCACTTAACCACTGCACCATGGGGCCAGCTCCAACCTGCGGTCAATTTTTAATTTCCCTTTTCAGCTCTAGAATTTCTTTTTGGTTTTTCTGTAGGTTTTCCATCTCTTTAATGAAACTTCCATTTTGTTCATATAGCATTTTCATGATTTTGTACACATCTTTTAGCTCTTTGAGGGTCTTTAAGACAGTTGTTTAAAATTCTTTGTGTGATAAATCCACCATCTGGTCTTTCTGAGGAATGTTTTCTGTTGATTTTTTTCCCCCTTGCATGGGTCATACTTTACTGTGTCTTTTTATGCCTTGTGATTTTATTTTTGTCAAAAACTGGACATTTGAATCTTACAATATAGAAACTCTGGAAATCAGATTCTCCCTCCTTCCTCAGAATTTGCTGTTTTTGTTTATTTATAGTTTTTTTTTTATTGTTGTATCTTGTCTCTGTGCCAGGATCAACCAGAGGTATAAACTTAAAGTCTTCTCAGGTCTTTTCTGAGCCGGCATCTTTTCTTCAGTATGTGTGGTGACTTTCTAAATTCCTCAGAATATGTGGTTGCTTTTGAATATCCTAGTCCTTAAATGTCTGACTCCTAAAGGGGGAAAAAGGGAAAAATGGAGAAATGGAGGAGGGGAGAAACAGGTGCCAGCCCTTTAAATACCCTGAGAGTCTTGTCACTTGGAGGAGGAGGGGTTTATAACAACGGCAGTAGGAGTTGCAACAATGGCTTCCCTCGCGCTCTGGCTACTGCAAGCTGAGTGCAAGCTGCTCCAGAAACATGTCCATAGCTGCCTACTATGGGACCAGGGGTGTTTTTTGGGTAGCCACTACCTAAGAGCTGAAATTAACTGCAGTTTACCTTCCAAGTCTTCCTCTGGAAGTTGCAAGCCTTTGATAGACTTCATTGCTCCAAAATAGTTAAATCAGACAAATTCTTCAGATGTAATTGTTATCTTGGTGGGGACAAAGATTCCTGGTGCCTCCTAGTCTGTCATCTTCCCTGGTATCACTTTATGTCCTTTTAAGACAGTCCTGATCATCTTTGAAAGTTTCCTTATTTTCTGGCACAATAAGATATACCAGGCTCATGTATTCCTCCCTTGTTCCAAACTTGGAGTCAGGAGATTCTCCAAGGATGGCTCTTCCTTTTAGTAAGGAAGGGAATTGGAGACCAAAATCTGAGCATGAGGGTTTTGTGAGTTTATTTGTATAGAATATCTCCTATTTAAATTTAGCATTATTTTTACTTCTCTGATTTTTATAATAGAATTTTGTACTTATACTGAAAATCCTTATTTCTCACGATATTATTTCAAAACCATTTTATTGTGAAAAAATAACAAAGAGAAAAGTGAATACAATTGTATGGCTTAATGAATTATTACAAAGTAAACACCTGTGAAGTATTGCCAGCACCACAGAAGCCCCTCCAGTGCCTTATATCATTACCCCTTCCCTCCCCTCTAATATAACTCATAGCCTATTGTCTGGACATAGCTTCTTTGAATTCCTCTATTTCTGCTCCGTGATGCTCCTATAATTGGTGTAAAAGCTTTCTTTCTTTTTTTTTTTTTTCAATTTTATGAGAATGTTGCTAATTTTTCCTTGATCTTGGGCAACATTTTTCTGGTGAATTGTCTTTTTTCTTTTGAGAAATTACAATCTTCTATTTCTATTTTGATGTGTCAGTATAGTTGATGGATACAGTATTTTTTACTTCTGTTTTGGTTTTCATATTTGACTTGATTGGTCTTTACTGTCTCAATGGAATAGTGGAATAGTTTCTCAGCCCAAGAGCTCTGTCTCTACTCGTACAGTAATGGACATCTTTAAAAAATAGAATTCTTGTATGTTATCCTTTTTCAACAGGTTTTGCTACAATCCCTTCTTTGCTTCCCTTCATACCTGTCACCAAGGGATACTGGTCTTGACTTCCAAGACAGTCCCCTACCCTTTCTTTTTTCCTCCCCAAAGCCCCAGTACATAGTTGTGTATCTTAGTTGTAAGTCCCTCTGGTTTTTCTACATGGGATGCCAACACAGTATGGCTTGACAAGTAGTGAGTCGGTCTGTGCCCAGGATTGGAACCAGCGAACCCAGGGCAGCCAAAGCGGAGCACGCAAACTTAGTCACTGCTCCACCGGGCCAGCCCCCTTAAAGCGCTTTTTAAATTTTCTGTCTTTTCTTTGTCTCCCCCAATGCTTGATCCCAGACTTGCACATAGCAATTCCCATTCAGGTGAGGCCCTCTTCTGTAGGTAGGTAAATATTTGCAGTGGTTTCTAAGTCTTGCTAAAGCCAGGATCCATCTGAGCCCTCCATTCTTCCTATCTTTGTGGCTTTCTGCATTCATTCTGCTGGTTTGGGATGCTCTTTCACCCCCACACTTAAATATAATCTGGAGTTTGAGGGTTTTCTCAGAGTTTTGCTGAAAGTGTAGGCTGTGGAATATTTTATTTGCTCTCTTTGTTGCTTTTTATGAAATAAAAAGCAAAAAACTTGCCAAAGAGGTAAAATGGTAGAATCACATCTAGGCTTCCACCTTGCTCCCTGAATCCTAGAAAGCTGGAGCTGGAGAATGGCCTGGAGGCAGGATAATTCAGGCAAGGGATGATGGAGGCCTGGATTAGGGTGGGGTCTGGAGATGGGGAGGAGGGACATGTGGAACTGGAATTTGAGCTAGGGTGAATTTCACCTGACTCTCTCTCTCCAAGGATGCTGAGAAGTTAATGTCCATCTTGGACATGTCTCCGTCTCCTGGAAGCAGTGGCGTGCACACCTCTTGGAACCATGGCCCGCCAGTCATTCAACACGTCCCTCAGTGCACAGAGCTGGAGAGGATCCCCTTGGTCTTTGCCGAGGCACCTAGGCAGAATGAGAATGAAATGGGGCCGCAGTTTAGTATGTCGCTACCTGAGCATGGTGTGAGCTACTACCCCCAAGTGACTCTTACTCCTTCCCAGATGATTTACTGTCGGGGAGTGTCTCCCTCCCAACCAGGAATGATGATTTTCAAGGAACCCCAGACGATGCCTTTAGGAGAGCCCGGTATTCCAGGGGTGGCCATGCCCTTCAGTGGGAATCTAAGGATGCCTCCCAATGGGTTAGTCCCAGCTCCTAGTGGAACCTCAACAATGTCCCACATCAGGGCATCAACCATGCCTTATTCTGGCCCCCCAACAGTACCTTCTAACAGAGACTCTTTAACACCTGAAATGTTATTGTCCCCAACCATGCCTTCCACTGAGGTCCAGGCAACACTCCCCTCCTTGGCTCAGATGTTACCTGCTAGAGATCCCCACGACCTTGGGATGTCCCCAGCTGGCTCCCCAACATTGCTGGCATTAGAATCCCAGGACACTCTTGTGAGCCAGCCAGCCTCCCAGGAAGACCTCTTCCTACCCAAGCAGCCCTTACTTGCTCTGCAGAGAGCAGAGCAGAATTTCAGACCCCAGGAAAGGGCTCCCAGGAGGAGATCCCCGGTTTCAAGGCCTTACCACTGTCAGTATGAGAACTGTGGAAAAGCATATACTAAGCGCTCCCACCTTGTGAGTCACCAACGCAAACACACAGGTGAATGAAGTGTCAGACAGGTGGGGTGGGGTGGAGGAGTCCTGGTCTTTAGATTTGTGCTGGACCACTGGTTTATAATGGTTTTGGGTTAGCCCATCATCCTTCAAGCTTGAGGTCAAGCTATCCTGGCCCCACTGACTTGGGTTCCCACAGTCCAGTATGACTGTACCAAGATGATGGGGGGTGGACACCACTGGTTGTGTTGACTCCTCACCGCTTTCTTAAGTTTTTCCTTTTGATTCCTCAACCTTGGCTGCTCTGCCTCATAGTCAGACCCCTTCTTTCCTGACCTTTTCCTCTACTTAATTCCTTCTCTCCCTTGTTGCCCCCCCAGGTGAGAGGCCCTATAAATGCACATGGGAAGGCTGCACGTGGTCTTTCTTTCGTTCCGATGAGCTTGGACGACACATGCGGATACACACCAGATATCGACCGTATAGATGTGATCAGTGCGGCCGACAGTTCATGAGATCTGACCATCTCAGGCAACACCACAGGACTCATCTGCAGGTGCTAGGATCCTCAGACGCACAGGCCAGCAATGGACAGATGCCTGGTCCTCCTGCTCCTGGTCTTTAGGTCAATCTCCTTTTCCTCTCATTTTGGCATATCCACCCAGATCCTGCCTGCCTCTGACCAGCTAGTCTCTTTGGTAGGTGTAGGCTTAGATGAAGACAGATTATGAGGCAGTGTTGAAGCCCACATGAGCTCTGGACTCGGTCAGGGACTCCTCAAAAATTGTCTTCTGCCGAGTTTAGCCACATGGGAAGATGGAGCAAAGTAGAGATTGGGAGCTTTATTAAAAAGCTCTTTATCGTATGTCACTCCCCAGCTTGAAACCCTTTAGTGATTCTCCTTTGCCTACTACATAAGATCCAAGTGCCTTATCTTGGTTGTTCACGGTTTCCAGGGCCAAGCTATGTCCAGATTCTGAATTTACCACTCACTATCCAGATGACCTTGGGAAAGGTCTTTGAGCACTATGCTGTGTTTCCTCTTCTGGTAAATGAGAAGAACAGTATTAGACTGTTCAGGACACATCTTATGAACCGAATCAGATTCCCTCCGATACTCACCAGCCACACGCTCAGAGTTTCTGTCTCTTTCCACCACTTCCAGACTTGGATGGAATGCTCCACTACAGGGCATGGGATCTGGGATCTCAAGTAGCCACCAGCAACCCAGAAGTGTGGGGGAGTCACTGCTCCTGGGATAGAGTTTGACTAGTGGAGATGGGAGAGAGCCAGGCAGATAGATTCCCTCTTCTTCCCTCCCTTGCCTGAATTGCTGCAAGGCACCATTTCTCCCAACAGTACAGCTAATGGGGAGACCTCCCAAGCAGCCAGTGACACACCTGCTGTGACTCTTGGATGTTAGTCATGAATCAGGACCCAACCTGCTGTCAGCTTGCATTACCCCCAGCTCTTCCCTGCCCTAGCTTCCCTTTTCTCACTCTCAATGCCTTGGGTTTGCACCACCCAAATAAAACATCAGTACTTTGTTCTCTTTTTAGGCTCTGTTTCCTAGTGACTTTGGGGTGGAGGACATTAGAGTGGGGCAGAGAAGGACAAACCCCACTGTAACTTCCCCTGCTCCCCAACCCCAAGTCCAGTTACCTGGACTTCCACATACCAGGTGTTAAAGGCCCTGTCCTGCCCTGCTCCTCCCCCAAGGGTAAGGGCATAATAACTATCCTGGTCATCAGCCAGCCAGTTAAAAACCTCATTTCTGGACTTAGCAGCCAATCATTTTATTGACCGGCAACTAATAGAAAGGAACTTGCGCAAGCTCTCAAGTGGCAGAGCTGGGATCCCAACCAGACTCTGTCTACTCCAGAGAAGATGCCTTTTACAGGTGTTGCCTGCACCCAGTCCAGTGCCAAGCACTGCCAGGAGATGGCCACAGAAGGATGGTCAGGTCTGGTTCCCGTGGTGAAGGAACCACCTTGGTCTAGGGGCTGAGAGGTGCACGTAAGTACAGTGGCCATGGGGAGGAGGTGCTCCAATGGGGAAGGTCAGGCTTTCTGGGGAAGTGAACCTTGAGTGAGTGTGTGTAACATCTAGTAATCCCTTGAATGTGGAAATAAACTGAGTAGGTGAATGAAGAGGAAAGAGCATTCCAAGCAGAGAGAATGCTGGACCTGGCAGCTGCTCAGAGAGTCAACCTGAAAGCTTCCACTCATTTGACAAGTGTTCTTTGAGCCCACAATACACAGAACACCACCGCTATGGGAACTCACAAGGGGCACAGAGACGAGGAAAGGATGTGTCAGAGAAGAAAGACTTGTCAAGGAGGCGCCTGAGTCACAGCTGAGGGCTCACGGGGCTTAGCTGGACCTCCCATTTCCTGGATGTCTACCCTTGGTCATGCCCTGTGCTGGACACTAAGGATTCAGGGCATGACCGTGCCTTGCTTCAGGGCAGAGGGATCACAGACAGAAATTCTGAAAGTGCTCACTGCTGCCAAGGACAGGAGCCGAACCTCTATGGACTCAAACCTACAGGCGTCTGGGGAAGTCCCACAGACTTGGCTGTGCCTTCCCTGTCCCTCCCACCTCCACCCTGACCTTACCCTGCATGGTCATCTTGGTCTATTCCCCTAGTGGCCCCAGCTTACCTGGGCTGGGCATCCAGGTGCCTTCCACCCAAACTCCAAGCAAGGGGAGAGGACTTAAAAAAAAAAAAAGGCACGGGGAGTGCTATTTGTTACCCAGTTACCCCAGAGACTGAGGTTTCGAGTACCCAAAGTCTCTCTCATTCTCACCTGGGCACTAGGTCCCTTTTGTGGAGCAGGGCATCTCAGGCTCAGTGGGCCAGGGCTGGTCTCTGTCTCCACATCCCCCATACTTGGCTCACACACAGCCCTGCAGGTAGGGTCAGCAGGCCAGGTTGCTTGTTGGGATGCAAGAGAGGCCTGTTGGTGACCCATCGCTTTCTCTGAGGAATGGAAGGAGGAGGAGCTAGAGAGGGCAGGGGTGAGCTATGTACATTACAGTGGTGGTCGAAACAGGCCCCTGCCCTTGTGGAGGTCGCGATCTAGTGGAGGAGGGATGACAGGAATGTAGAGTGCTGGGAGGACAAGTATCATGGACTTGCTGCATTAGAGCAAAGGAGTTAGGAAGGCATTTGCTGGGAAGTGTGGTTTGAGCTCAGAGGTAGGGACTAACTAGGAGTTAGGCAGAGAAAGGAGGTGAGACAGTGAAGGGAGGAGAAGAAATCGATCTATCCTTTATCCATGGGAGGCTGGGGCTAAGGCTTTCCCACTATCTTGTTCAACACAAGGCAGGCTGGTAGGTGGGTAAGAAATTATACGCTCTCAAGTAAGACTAGCAGATTTCTAATCCTGTCTCTGCCAATTCCTGCCTTTGTGGCCCTGGGCAATTTACGTATCTCTTGGCTTCAGATAGCTAGTGGGGCACGATTGATAGATTCAAGCTGAAGAGAAAGAGAATTAGTCACACTTAAAAATGGGTGGAGAGTAGTAGAAAGATTTAGGAGAGAGAATTAACCCTGGTGATAATTGGAGTTGATTGGTGAGGGAGTGGTCAAGGATGACTCCCGGTTTGTAGCTTGTGTTACAAGTAACAGGAGAATGAACAACTTCGTTAATTTATTTTTCTCTTTTTTATTGTGATACTTATTATATGTGCAAAAAATATTTTGTATGTATACGATTTAAATAATAAAAAAACACCTGGGGTCAGCCCGGTGGTTTAGTGGTTGAGTTCTTGTGCTCCACTTTGGTGGCCCAGGGTTTGCAGGTTCAAATCCTGGGCACAGACCTACACACTGCTCATCAAGCCATGCTGTCTCAGCGTCCCACATACACAATAGAGGAAGATTGGCACAGATGTTAGCTCAGGGCCAATCTTTCTCGCCAAAAAAAAAAAGGTAAGAAAAAACCCCACTCATTTACCCTTTATGCCACTTATAAAGGACATAGGAATACATTGGAAGCCTTTGAGTGGCCCTCTCTGATCACGTCCCCTCATCCTTCCCACAGAGGTAACTGCTATCATGAATTTTGGTTAATTTTGCCTTTGCCTCTCTGTTGTTTTTACCATATATGTATCTATTCTTAGACAGTATAGTGATTGGTTTTATGTGGTTTTGAACTTCATTCTGTTTGGGGTTCATTGAGCTTCTTCAATCCAAAGGTTAACAGCCAATAAAATTTGGAAAAAATTTGACCATTGTTTTGTCAATTTTTTGTCCCTTCGTTTCTCCTTCTGACACATGCTGTGCCCATATAATGGACCACTGGATGTTGTCCCACAGGTCACTGATGCTCCATCCATCTTTTTCTGTCTTCTTTTCTTTCTCTGCTTCATTTCAGATGTCTTGGAGCTAACTGATCTTTTCTTCTGCAGTGTATAATCTGCTGTCAGTTCCAACTAGTGTGTCTCACTGTGTTTTTCAACTCTAGAGATTGCATCTGGCTCTTTCTTTATGTCTTCCATTTCTCTCCTTATCACTCTCATGTTTTCCTCTACCTACTGAACATAGGAAGCATAGTCGTAAAAGCAGGTTTAATGTCCTCAGATGCTAGTTCCATCATGTTTGTCATTTCTGGGTCTGTATCAATTGATTGATTTTTCTCCTGGTAGTTGTCTATTTTCCTGCATTGAATGGCTGATAATTTACTGGATGCCAGACGATTGTGAATTTACCTGGTTGGTTGCTGGGTTTTGTTTTATCCCTTTAAGTAGTGTTGGCTTTGATTCTGGCATGCATTTTACTTAGAATTAATTGGATTCCTTGGAGGCCTACTTTATTTTTTTCCCCTTAGAGAATTTTTATTTCTGTGAGGCTTACTTTTAAGCTTTTTTAGGACAAACCCAGAGCTGTCTTTTTTCTAGGGCTAACTTAGCCCCACTCGTAAGGCAATATCGAGGATTCTGCTTGATCTGTGTTATATCTTTGCGTTCTGGCTAGCAGAAACAAGCTACATCCAGCCCTGTGTGAGCTCCAGGGGTTTTCTGTGTGTGTCTTTTCAGTGAGCTTTTTCCTAGTCTTGGGTAATTTCTTTTCATGCTTGACCAGTACTCAGTCAAAGACTTAAAAGGACACCCCCTCCAGATGTTGAGCGCTCTCTCTCTTTGCAAAACTTTATTCTCTCAGGTACTCTGCCTAGTAAATTCTAGCTGCCTTGGCTTTCCCAAACTTCAGTCTCTGTCTCCTCAACTCAGTGAGACTTACCCACTCTGTTTTGGTTTCCCTCCCTTATCTCAGGGGTCACAGTTCTGTGCTGCCTGTTGTCCGTTGCTGAAATCCACTGCTTCATGTATTTTGTCTGGTTCTCTCGTTGTTTAAGGTGGGACGGTAAATCCAGTGTGCGTTACACCATCTTTAAAATGCGTTTAAATGGAATCATGTTGTAATGAACTCTGTGAATTTATTTTTTGCTTGCAATTATGCTTTTGAGATTTATTAATATCATGCATGCAGATGGAGTTTCTTTCACTTTCATTGTTGTGTAGTATTCCGTTATCTGAATATACAATTTATTCTGTTGAGTCACTTCCAGCTTTCTTTTTGTTATTGAGAAAGTGCTGCCCTGAATATTCCTGCCTAAACCTTCTGCTGTACTTGTAAGTTTCTCTTTGAGGCACTTTTTGAAGGGTACTTGTTGACTCGTTAGTGGGTGGTCAGCTGACTATAGAAACAGGATTGTAGGGCAAGGTTGAGGTCCCGATTGAGCTTGGTGACAATTTATAGAAGTGTCAGTCTATCCTGTTACAGGACTTTCTCCTGTGGCATCACTTCCTTGTGTATTTGTGGAGGAGTTGGTTAGAGTTAGAAGGTGTTAGGATTTTGACAGGTGAGTGCCACAGCAGGACAAAGGGACAAGGAAGTTTAGGACAAGGGCAGGAGAATCAAGGGACCCTGGAATCCAAGATGGGGTGGGGTGAGGTGGGGAAATGTGAAGTCCAGAGGAGGCTGAGGAACAGATGCAGCAGAGCTACCGAGAGGTTGCAATGAAGCAGATAACTGGTAGATTAGGAACAGTTGAGTGACGCTAGGGAGAAAGGTGGAGGTGGAGATAAGGATGTCGAGTAGCTATTTTTGGAGGTAGAATGATGATGAGATCCAAGATATGGCCAGAGAAGTGGGTGGCTGGGGTGGACTAGAGGTGAAGGTTTTTGGAAATGCAGAGAGTCAAGGGTGTTATCTGCGTCATCCTTGGATGGTGCCCAGGACTATGGCTAAACCTTAAGTGGATAGAGTACAGAAGGCAAGTGACAAATTCTAGGGATGAGTGAAAGTGAGCAGGGAGGTGAGTGGAGAACAGTGACTAGGAGCAGAAAGGTGGAGTATCCAATGGAACAGGGTTTTGGTGGGGAGGGAGAATAATGTTTTTTAAGTAGCATTGTGGTGAAAGGTCCAAAGGTAGATGGGATAGGGAGAATGAGAGATCTTTACAAGGCAGAGATGCTATGGGATATGAAGGTGAGCAGAAGAGAGAGCTTCTTGGAGGAGGTGGAGGATGTAGGGGAGTTCCCAGATTGTGGAGCAGGAGTTCTAGAGGGTACAGTGGAGTAATTTGGGGGGGAGTGTGGGGGAAGGATAGGAAATAAGAACTGGAAGAAGGGAAGGCTTTGCAAAGGTCTTTTGGACATTGACCCAGCAGTATTGGAACTCTCATTTTATTCATTCTCATTCATTCATCAAAAATTTACTGGGTATCTACTGGGTTCCTGGGGTTCCCAGTGATGGGGATACAGTGGCCAAATGGTCAGCTGGATCTTAGCTAACTCTGGAGCTCTGGGCTAAGTGCTGGAAAGGCTGACTCAGAAACAGATGATTACAGTTGTATTTGGAAACCCCATCTTGGTTGCCTTGTGTGGAGGATGGATAGAAGATTCTGGGCAGAAGAGTAGGCGTCTGCATGTGGGGAAGCTGGCAGATGGTGGTCTGCACGGTCAAGCAGAGTTTGAGGAGCAGTGTTTGGGATGAGGTATTTGAGCTGAGAAGAACAACTTCTGACTTCATTCTATAGGTACCTCCTAACCCCCAGCCATGATCCCCGGCTGTGCCGGCAACTCCCCTGGTGCTGAGTGGCATATGATGATGATCCTGCTTCTGTCAAGAAAGTACTGGAGGCTGCCTGACTTGGGGCTCTGGGGCTGCAGCTAATGTCTTCCCAAAAGCAACTTCCCTAGACCTGGCTGAGGTCCAGAGGAGGACGCCCGCTCCTCTGTCTGGGTCAGTGTAGAATTCCGCCTCCCTCCGCAGACTGGAGAGACAGTTCCTGAAGAGAATGCCAGGTTCCGGGGAAAAGGGGATGAAAGAGGCCCTGAATTGTTACAGAAAAGGTGTGTGGGGCGGGGTGGAGGAGGGATAGGCGGGATGGCATGTCAAAAGGCTTTTAGAAAACACCGGCACATCTAGTCCTCGCCTACATATAGTATAGCAAGAAAATAATGCCTCTTCAGTGAGTCTGTCTCTCAGCTTTCAGGTGTTCATTCATTCATTCAGTTCTCGCTTGCTGACTCATACCTCAGGCTATGAATCATACTTTTACTTGTGCTAAGGATTGAGATAAAAGATAAGCCCTCTAACTCAGTTTTTTCTCCTTTCCTTCTTCCTTTTCCTTTGCCTGCTTCATTAAAAACATTTTAAATGAGAGGTACCTATCGTACAAAATTCAAAAGGTAGAACGCATTAGTCAGTGAAAAGTCCCCCAGCCACTCTTGAACTTCTCTCCTCGGAAGTGATGCTACTTTTTGCTGTGTGCCTTTCAGACCTATCTATAGTATACAAACAGCGTATTATTCACACTGTTGCGTCCCCAGCTGTTTTCACTTATCAGTACATCCTGGAGACTGTTGTGTAAGCAAATATAGAACTACTAGAATCTTTTAAATTGACGCATAGAATTCCATCGTATGGAGGTAGCATATTTATTTCATCAGCCTTCTGTTGAAGGACGTTCAGCTTTTTGCTGTGAAACGATAGTATAATCTTGAGAAAGTTATTTTTCTTTTAATAGAGGAATTTATTGCCATTGCAATTATAAATATTTAGTCTTACTGATTTATTTTATTGCCTTTTGGGAGGTCGTTAAATAAACTTTATTTTAGAGCAGTTTTAGAAAAATGGGCATGATGAGTTCTCGTATACTTCATACAGTTTCCCCTATTATTAAATCTTACATTATATGGCATATTTGTTACAATTAATAAATCAATATTGACATATTTTTATTAACTGAAGTCCATACTTTTATTTAGCTTGCTTGTGGCCGACCTTGTGGCTGAGTGGTTAAGTTCCTGCGCTCTGCTTTGGCGGCCCAGGGTTTGCCAGTTTGGATCCTGGGCACAGACCCATACATTGCTCATCAAGCCATGCTGTGGCGGCATGTGGCATAGAGGAACCGGAATGATTTATAACTAGAATACACGACTATGTACCAGGGCTTTGGGGGAAGAAAAAAAGAGAGGGAGATTGGCAACAGACATTAGCTTAGGGCCAATCTTCCCCACACACACAAAAAAGAAACTTCCAAAAAAGAAAACCACAAAACTTTTTCTGCTCCAGGATTCCATCCAGGATAGCTCATTACATTTAATAGTCAAGGCTTCTTAGGTTCCTCCTGGCTGTGCCAGTTTCTCAGACTTTCCTTGTTTTTGATGACTTTGACAGTTTTGAGGAGCACTGGTCAAGTATTTTGTAGAGTATCTGTCCCTCGA